TCGTGCATCCCGCTTAGCATTGCGAATTCACCCCGGCGGTTCATGGGAAAGATAGTCCCAAGTCGTCGCCGAATTTCTATTATCTATTCGCTTGTTGACGTACAGTTCTTCTCCTTTCGGCTTGGGGTTATACAGAGTAAAGCGAAGCATCAAGTCTTTAGCTACCAATGATGAGTTTTGAGATCAAACAACTATATTGCAAATACAAAATGGTGGCAGTTCTGTCGCATTGTGGGGAGCCATTTGGTCGGAAGAGTAAGCTTATTTTCGTCAACCGGGCACTTTAACAGACTACCTATCCACCCTCCCTGCAACATTCATCTTGCTTCTCAATGTTTTAGAACATTTTCGCCGGTCGGTCACCATCTCGTGCAATCTCATCTTGTTTCCTTCGGTTAGCCATTAGTTCTCAGTTCCTGTAACGCTGGTCACTCCCCCCTTCCTGTTTTAAAAATATTAAGTGTAAAATAGACATTGATCTCAAATAACACTACAGTTTACAGGTCCAACGTCTATTACCAAACAAGAATGAACACGACCAAATTGATATCCTTCTGATGCTAATTGGAATTGTTCTCTCTAGTCATTCAAACCAACTAGCATGCACACACACACGTGCATATCTTTTGTCACAATATGGATCGATTTTATGATATCCGTTCAGCGTTTGTCATCGACACCACTACATTCGGAATCTTGGCCCCGAGTCAAGGTCTATGATCGGATTTCCTCTTCATTTGCCATCACAAGCGGAGTTCGACAAGGGTGCCCAGCTTCGCCCTTCCTCTTTAAGTTCGCAATAGACAAAATCCTAAGCAGTGCTTCCTGTGTAGACCTTCTCCAAGGTGATCGATTCCGTGAGTTGGAATATGCTGATGACATCGTTTTACTCTGCGACTCCTCCCAAGACGCTCAAAGCGTCCTTTGTAAGTTGGCATTATCCGTCATGCAGTTTGGTATGACATTTTCTCCAACGAAATGTAAGGTTTTACTATAAGACTGGCAAGAGGCTACACCTGTCCTCACGTTTATGAACGACCAGTTGGAATTCGTCGATCACTTTATTTATCTCGGGAGTTGCTTCAGCTCAAGAGGACTAACGGAAGAAATATCAGCGCGTATTCGCAAGGCTCGAGTGGCTTTCACTAACTTACGTCACTTGTGGCGCCGACGCGATCTCAGTCTCTTCTTGAAAAGCCGCATTAACAATGCAACAGTACGCTCTGTCCTACTCTACGGCGCAGAAGACGTACGGAGGTTAAGTGTCTTTGACCACCGTTGCATCGCCAGAACGCGTTGGCAACAGCGAATCACCAACGACGAGGTTCGCCGAAGAATCTTCACCGCAATCTCAGTCGTCCTCTGAGTGCCGTCATCGCTCCAGAGACTTCGATGGCTAGGACGTGTTGCGGATGCCGGCTCAACGATTGCCCCATCGTTATGTTTGCGCAAGTAGACACTAACTGTAAGCGGCGACACGGTGGACAGCGAATAACCTGGGCTCGAATAATGAAGGCGCTAACCTCAAAACTGGCAGTGGTAGGTAGCTCTAGACTCCCAGGTTGGGGGCCCAAGGACAGAGAACATCTATGGTTCGATACGCTTTCAGACATGGCTGGTAACTGGCGTCAATGGCACACCTGTTGCGAGACTCGTATTCGTTGG